TGTGTGTGCACGCAGCGTCCCACGCCGGAGGGGGCCGGCCTCAGTTCTCCCCTCACTTGTCCATCTGCTGATTCGCTCTTCCCTTCCTTCCTTCCCCTGAATTTTAATTGCCCCCTCACCCCCCATGGATGGGCAATTCAGGGGTTCTGTGCAGGTCCCTGGGGATGACAGGGGACAGGAGGATGGAGGCTGGACGAGGGTGCAGGGCCGCAGGACCCCCTCACACTGGGGGTTATGCCCTCCGTGTAGGTTTCCTCCCCTCTTCACAGCCACGGCCTTTGTCCAGGTCCTGAACGCTGAGGCCATGGGGGCTGCTGGCTGTGGCCCTCCCCCGACGCTGCCCCGGATGCTCACGGCTTCTGGGGCAGGGCGTGCGCGGGCGTGAGGAAGGCAGGAGCTGGTGGGGCCTGTTCGCCCAGCCTGCCGGGAGCTGTCCTGGCTGGATGGGGAAACGTGCACCATCGCGGTGGCGTCCCAGCACCGAGAACACGTCCCTGAACCGGGTGCCGCCACGATGGGCATTTCTGACGCCCTCAGGCCTCTCCTGGAGGCCGGGGGACACGTGGGGACACAGCCGCCACTGGAGCTGTTTAGACTTCACCAGGGCGGCATTCGGAACCTCCCGTTATAAACCAAGAACCCGGCCACAGAGGGATGAGTGACATGCCCGTCACCGAACTGTGAGGGGCACAGCTGGCTGTGCGAGCCGGTGGGCTGCAGCCAGAGCCGCCATCTGCTTACTGCCTGTGCCCGCGGGGTCTCAGTCAGGTGCCCCCCGCCCCCTTCAGGGCTGCTGGGCTGAGGAGCATCCCCCCAGCATCTGGTGGGGCCACATTCGTACCTCCCCTCGGAGCCACCCCGAGGAGCCACCCCGAGGCGGGCTGCCCCCCACCCCCGCCCCTAGGCTGCAGGCCCACCTGCAGGTCGGGTCCCCAGGAAACGCACTGGGAGTTGGAGGTGTGTGTGCAGGAGGCCTCGGGGGTCTCCAGGCAGCGCCTGTGCGAGCTGCGGGGACAGGACTGGGCAGAGGAAGGCGCGAGCTGGGAGGCAGGTGACAGGAGCCGGAGCTCTGGGGTGGCAGTCGCCCCTCAGGGCATCTGAGTTGAGGCAGGGGTCTGGCTTAGCCACTGGGAAGCGTTGGGGAAGGGTCGTGACCTTCGAGAGGCAGGTCCCTGGGCTGAGGGAATCCCTGGGGAGGGACCTGGCTCTGAAGGTCAGTGGCACCACCTCCGTGGCGAGTCCGTCCACCCCGCTTGGGCCCACGTCACTCCAGACCCCTCGCCTGGTGACAGGACGGGGAGAGGGAGTGGACACAGCCCTGGTCAGACGGTGACTCCGCGCCAAAGCAGGCGGCCGCTCCCCTGCCGACGGGGTGGAAAGAGTGCGTTGGCCGGTCAGTGGCCACGACTTGAGGTCACGCTGATCGGCTCCGGGGAAGCCGCAGCGGGGACACTGCTCAGCGGGGACACTGCTCGGGGGCATGGGCCAGTCCACACGCCCGCCACTGCCCGAACCCTGGCTCCCGGCTCCCGCCTCCCGGGCGCCTCCATTCTCCAAGCTTCTGAGCCCAGGGGCCTGGGGGAGGGCGGGTCACACAGACGGACAGGCTCCTCTCTCCTGCCCTCCAGGTGTGGAACCAGAACGGCAAAAGCCCCTCCATCACCTTCGAGTACACGCTGCAGCATCCACAGCACGACCACCGCCTGCGGCCCCTCTACTACAGCTTCCCCGGCTCCGAGAGCGCCGAGAGCCAGGAGCTGGACGGCCCGGGGCTGCTGGGCTTCCTGCAGCACAACGGCTCGCTCTA